ACATATTTCAATGAGTACTAAAATAACTAAAAAAACATAAATATATTTTATATCCAAAATTTTGAGGGAAAGTATTCGAAAGAAATTAATATACATTTTTTTAAATAAAAAATCATCGTTTTCTACCTATTGGAATAATTTAAAGACTTTTTCATTTAATGTTTTTTATCACCGACATAGTACTGATTCGGTGTGAATGACAGTGTACTGCCAGTACTGGTTTTAATATTTTTTTACCTCCGACATAGTACTGATTCGGTGTATTAGTCAGTACACTGCCAGTACTGAAAGTCAATACCGACAGCCAGTATTGGATCAGTACCATGCCGGTGTTTAATTACGGCGAGCTACGGATATTTCTACTTGGGCAGTTACAGAAGCAAACTCTTTGTCGATTGCTGATGGAATAATCTGGATTTGTTCAGCAAACAGTTTTATTAATCCATATTACGTAGTCGTCTTGAATTCTCGCAAACTGGCGTGCAGATCGTCGCGTCGTTTGCTTCTGACAGATGTGCCACTTTTGCTTTTATTATTAGTTTTTTTTTTTAATGACAAAGTGATGTTAAATAATGAATCCGGTTAAAGTGAGAAATCCATTGCAAGTGTAGTGAATGGATGAAGAGACAATTTTACCGTTTATCGGTAAGTTATACTCGGTTACTATTGAACATAACCTCACCTTAAAAAAAAACAAAATGTATATTAAATATTATTTAACAACAAATTTCAACTCAAAATAATTTTTTTGATTTCAGGTCCAAGAATTTGATTCAGAAGTTGCATGTTCCATAGATTTTAATGCAAATGAAACTGGTGATATGACCTATGGAAATCTGCTATCGATTATTTTAGAAGGCGAAGAAACTGAACAAAATTGTATTAGACGGATCGAAGCTTTGTTAATACAACAAATTGTATTGCTGATTTAACAATTTAGTTTTGTTATTTCAACTGTTCCATAACAATTTTCTTTGTTCATCAAACAATTCTGTTTGTTCACCGAAAAATCCGAATACACTAAGAAAAAAGATATGTTTGAACCAAATGTACCATTTTTTTATATTTACCCAATTTTTTGGTTAGTTCAAACAAAATTTGTTTAATTCAAATAAATATTTATTTGATCAAAATAACTGTTTGATTTATTTTAATAAATTTTTTGAACAAAGAAAAAATTTGATTGAGCTAAATAAACGTTTGGTTTATGCAACCAAATGTTTGTTTAACTGTATATCAATGCATTTATTTTGTTGATTTAACCAAAATTTGGTTGCTTCAAACGAATTTTTTTCTGAGTGTAGTTTTAATAACAATCCCATTTTAACAATTTTTTTTTTTTGTCTCAAAAACAAATAGAACTGCTGGTTCTATATTGACAATCCGGAATTGTTGTGTGGACTTAATTTTTAGTAACCACAACAATTCTTTTTTTTCCGTGATTGTGAACAAAAATATAATTTTTTGCTTTCAATTAAAAAATTATGATTATGATTCTAAAAATGATTTATTGAATTTTTACGCACTGACAAAAAATATTTGAGTTGACGACAAAAAATTTTGGTTAATATAAGTGCAACAAAAATTTTTAGTTACGTCAACAAATTTTTTATTGTCCCAATCAAATTTTTAGTTGGCACATGCAAACTATAATTGACACAACTAAAAAAAACTTTTATTGTCCTAACTTAAAGTTTGGTTTAATTGGAATAATTGAAATTTTGTTGACAACCCAAACTTATTTTCTTAGTGTATGTTCAGCGTTTTTTTTTGTAATTTGGTATTGTCATTTTTTTTGTAAATTTTTATTTTCATTTATTTAATTTTCTGTATATTGTATGTTTCAATTTTTTTATTTTTATTAAAAATTTTTGTATTTTTGTCAAAATTTTGTTATTTTTAAATTTATTTTACTTTTGTCAATTATTTTAACAATTTTTTTGTTATCTTTTTCGTCTTTTTTATTAGTTTAACTTTGTATATCTTTAATAAAACTTTGTACTTAATAAAATACAATAAAGAAAAATTTATTTGTTATTATTTTTATTTTTATATTCTGAGAAAAGGGACCTAAGAGGTATAAAATTATAGGTTAAGTTTGAAAATTAAAAAAATTAAAACTAACTTTCAATACAAATTGATAATATTAAAGTGTTTATTACATCAAAAATATTCAATAAAAACTTATATTAATTTTGCATAAATATAAAAAGAAACTTTTTATTTAATGTTAAACTCTTTTAAACATAATAATTGTTTAATTCGTTTACTTCTAAGGTCCCTTTCTTCAGAGTGCGTCACATATTATTAGACTCCCTGAAGAGGAAATCATTTTGATAATTATTACAAATTTATTTATTAGTGTGCCATTCCAGGAGTTTTTTAGCACTTTTCGGAGTAACCTTTCCAAATTAAATGAAACATTTTTTTATTAATATTTATTAATATAAAGGTCCAAAAAAATCACTTTTTAAGTAAAAACAATTGTTTATTTAAAAAATACAACAATAAATAATGCAAAAAATTCACTTTTTTCCTGCAACTCCAAATAAATTGGTTTAAAGATCAAAATTTTCCTTATCTTTCAAACTTTAATACCGCACAAGAAACATTGAGTCCGAGAAAATATTCAACTCACAATTTTTCAAACAATGTTTGTTTACTTTTTTGTATTTTATTTACTGTGAAACGTCTGCTAAAGCTGCGCGCGACGTTTGGAAGTTGTCGCTTTCCTTATTGAGCAGAAGCTCATTACACTAGCGTAGTAGAAAGGATGTTGTGCGAAAAGTGAGGTTATGTTGTCATTAAACGAAACGTAAAAATTTCTGGTTATCACATTGAATGGTTTTTAATTATCTACGTTGCAGTAAAAAATCATAAAAAACATTTTTGAAGGATGAAAAACCTCACTTTTCGCACAACATCCTTTCTACTACGCTAGTGTAATGAGCTTCTGCTCAATAAGGAAAGCGACAACTTCCAAACGTCGCGCGCAACTTTAGCAGACGTTTCACAGTAAATAAAATACAAAAAAGTAAACAAACATTGTTTAAAAAATTGTGAGTTGAATATTTTCTCGGACTCAATGTTTCTTGTGCGGTATTAAAGCTTGAAAGATAAGGAAAATTTTGATCTTTAAACCAATTTATTTGGAGTTGCAGGAAAAAAGTGAATTTTTTGCATTATTTATTGTTGTATTTTTTAAATAAACAATTGTTTTTACTTAAAAAGTGATTTTTTTGGACCTTTATATTAATAAATATTAATAAAAAAATGTTTCATTTAATTTGGAAAGGTTACTCCGAAAAGTGCTAAAAAACTCCTGGAATGGCACAGTATTATTATTTATTTATTATTATAAAGTTTTATTATAATATACTTCTCCGAATATCATCGTTTTTATTATATTAACCTATATCTTAAAAAAATACGAAATTGAAAATAATTTTGTATGTATTATAATTTTTTTAAATGCTTTTGCACTAAAAGGAATTTTTTTCTTTTTTTTATAAATTTGTAAGCCTGTACATTATAAATAAATAAATAATAAAAACTCGAAGTTTAAAAAAAAAAAATTGCAGGAATGTGTCGAAAATAAAGAAAAATGGAATGTTTCATTTATAATGTTTTTTTTATTTTTGCAAAAAAAGTAAAGAAACAATAAAAATGACGCATTGTTGTTTTTTTTTTTTTTTGGAGGGAAATATTGGGAAAGGAAATTGACGTCATTTTTGAGGTATTCACCGAATTATAATAATTGGTAAAAATATTTATCTAAATGCCGCAAAGTCTCTTCTTAATAAAATGTCGATATGCTTTCTACAACATTTCAAATATTGTGCGTTTTATGAAATTTTTTTTTTTTCCTAACGAAATCACAAATTCTAAATAAAATTTATTATACTGTACCTGAGCGATTTATTAATATTATGTATATATATATATATAGAAAATTATCTAAATTTTTAAATTCACTGAAAGAACAATTCAATTTTTTTAAATTAAAATTATTATTTTTAATTTTGTCTAACAAAATTTAAATTAGTGCTTTGCAATTATTCTTCTGAAGCCGAAGTTATTTTTTGGTTTATTCAAAAAATTTTGAATTTTCTGTGCGTAAATGAATGATAAAAATTGTTTTTTCGATGAATTTTTTCTACACATTCTCGATTCTCTCATCGTAGAATTTATATATAATATATATATTTTTTTTTTCGATTTATATTCTAAAAATACCAAAATGTGCAGTAAAATTCGCTCAGATTGAAAAAAAAAAATTTTGTTCTCTCTTTTTTTTAATAAGAGAATATAGTGATTAGATTACAAGGCGTTCTTGTTTTTATCTATATAATATATATATATATATATATATATATATATATATATATATATATATATATATATATGTAATGCACATATTTCAAAATCTATTTACAAAGTTGTTTGTAAAATCTTAATAACAATATAATATAGTATAATATTTTATTTATAATACGTATAAATACCTTTGTCTTGATGTATAACGCGTAGTATTAATTGTAAACATATATATGCATCTCTGTCGTAATCGTTGTAATAATATATAATCAATTACAAAGTTAAAAGCAAAGCTTTAGATTCATCACAATGTTTTTAAGTACCTCTTTCGTTTATTATGCTCCAATTTTTCTCTAAATCTTATTTAAAAAAAAATCTATTTATACATTTCATTATATACTATTTTGCAGATTTTACACTTTTTTGTTTATTATTTCCTTGCCGGGAGAAATAAAATCAGGATTTTTTAATTATCGAGAAACGGTTTTTTTTGTGACAAAATACGATAATAAAAAATTTATTTTAAAACAATATTTTCAATAACTAAGGAAAAAGAATAATTTAATAATCATTAGTATAGTAAGAAAAGAATTTTTTAAATTATATATATATATATATATATATATATTTTTTTAAATATATTTTGAAAAAAAATTTGTTCGTTAAATAAAAGACTTGTTTGTTTTAAACATACATTTCTTTTAGGTTAAAAGAAAATTATTGACAAACAAATATTTTTTTCACTACAATAATTATTAAATAATATATTGTCAAAATATAAAAAGAAATAAAATATAGTTTAAAATGAATAGTAGATTTTTATGTTTAAAATTTAAATCATCTAGTTTTTATGATAATCCTGATTAATCTCCAAACAGAGAAATTTCCCTAAAAACGAAAATTTTTAAAATGATTGACATTTTTTTTTTTTTTTTTTAATATAAAGGACGGATATAATTTTTGAACATCTACGCGAATCACAGGCCGGTGAAAAATGATCGGTGTTTTGTAACGATACCGATTGTCGTTTTTTTTCATTAGGCACAATATATATATAGAAACCCTTTGATTTTGTGTCTAATTTTCGCTGATAAGGCACAGAGGCTATTTCTGCTCATAAAGAAGAGATATCTTCTTTATATCAATTAACATATTATTATATATATATGTTATAACAAAAGACTCTTTAGATAATTTTACTCACTAGAACCGCAGGATGAGGAATGCATTGCCTATACTTTATTACATCCCGTGCTACACGACTATTGCACCATTCCTCCTTTTTTATCTATAAGAAAATTCTTATATTTCTTTAATTTTTTCTTGTCTCTTTCAAAATTAATAAAAAAAAAAAAATTTTAATTTTTTAAAATTTAATAATATTTTGTCACTTCACTTCCGAAAATTTTTTTTCACTTTTTTCCGAAATTCTCTTCTTATATTATATTTTCTTCAAGCTCAAAATCTTCAGACTGAAAATTGATTATTTTTATCAGAACAATAAACAATTTTGATAAGAGGCGAATTTTTGTTATTTTTTTTAAAAAAGATATTTGATATTTATAAAATTTGCACCAGTGCGAACAAAGATAATCTTTATTTTTACTGAATTGAAAAATTATGAGACAAAAGGATATTAACAGATAGAGATTAACATTAAACATTAGATATATACATGTGAAGAGATGTACTTGAAGAAATTTTCTTTGAAGAGACGTTCTTAGAATAACGGAACATTCGAAAATCGAGAATGTAATCAGGAATGCGGATCCATGGATGAGAGTTGCATCGTCGTCGTTGTAGTCTTCTTTAAAAAACAACAACTATATATACTCGAGAAATCAATATATGAAGAGTCTCGCACAAGTTGAAGAATTGAAGAACATCCATATTAGTGAAGTGAGTAGTTTTAACTACAGAGACCAAAAAAAGTTGAAGTTTTGAGGTTATGTTCGTATTTTAGCTCTGAGTTTTGTTCTAATTTTAAATTTATGTTTATTGATTTTAACATCTTGTATATAAGAACTTAAAATCTTACCTTAAATTTTAACGTTATGTTCGCTCTATTGACCCAGAAATTGATCTAATTTGAAGGTTATGTTTACCGATTTTTATCTTAAACCCAGCGTCCTCTTAATTCGTTATAGTATTTTTACTTAATTTTGAGGTTATGTTTATTATCCTCAGACCTAATGTTTGTTTGATTTATGACTTGACAATGTTCATTGTCAAAATATTAACAAATCTGAAAACATAACCTCAAAATTATAGGTGATAAGTAAGAATCAAGAAGCCAACATATCCTCATAATTTAAAGTCAAATGTTAAGCACATTGGTCAAGAGAATGCTAAAATTGTCTAACATAACCTCAAAAATTTGCTCAATTTTTAGATCAAAAAGCCAAATCAGAGGCAAAATACTAACAAACCTAAAAACATAGATTATTAAAACAGCGAGGGGATAAAATTTTTCATTGATAATTACCGAATGTTCCATTAATTCACGTGAGAAATTTATGAAAACTCGATTTTTCTATCACGTTCTTAACATTCATACGAAATACATTTTCAATTTAACAGAAGTAAAATTAATCAGTTGTTTAAAAAAAATATCCTAAACTCCACAATGGGAGAACAAAACTCAAGAAAGTGGGTCCAAAATGTCAAGAAATTTTAATAAAAAAAACCTAGATTTGTGCAAATATTTACGAGGCTCGCTTCAAGGTCGCTGATTACAAAATTTCAGTCGGTTTTTCAAAATTCAAAATGGTGGAAACAATATGGCGGAAAAGTTTTTTTTAAAGATCGTTCAGATTCAAATAACATTTCCCAGATAGCACGCAAATCTGCTGCCAACTTGCAGTCGACTTGCATTGCAAGTTTGCTTTTCAAATTTGCTGCAAGCTTGCAATGTCTCACCCTTTGCAAACTTGCACTACAAGCTTGCTGTAAGTTTTCTGCAAGTTTGCTGCAAGCTAGCTACAAGGTTGCAGTGCAAGTGTGCAAAGGGTGGGACCTTGCAAGCTTGAAAAACAAACTTGCAAAACTTGCAATGCAAGTTGGCAGCAAACTTGCGTGCTATCTGGGTTGTCAGTCGAAAATTTTCGGGGTCACTGTTTACGAATTTGAGTTCAGATTTTCAAAATTCAAAATAACGGAACCAATTGGTGTAATATTTCTGAAAAAAAATTAATAAATTTCGCATAAAACTCTCTATCTGATAGTTTTTTAAAGCGCTTACGAATTTGATATAAAAATTGTAATCAGTGATCCCCAAAAAACAATCTATTAATATAAATTGAATTCAACCATTGAATATAATCAATTTTTGAAAAATCTTTCGCCACATTGGATCAGCCATTACTTATAGGATTTATCCAGTGGACACATTTGGATTAAAAACGTTCCAAAAATGTATTTTGAGAACTTTCCTGGAACATTGGACAAAACCAAAGACATTTTCATTTTTAGAAATGATCATTCCAAAATTTTGCACTATCTTAACTGATTCATAGGATTATTCTTGTATGGGTAAAAATTTTATCCTTAAAAAAACATCCACTATTCAGACGTTGATGATCTTTCCCAGAATTATAATCTGATAGTAAAATCACTTTTGATCTACATGAGAAGATTTTATCAATAGATTAATAACCAATCGATTAATAGATTAGCCATTATTTGATCAATTAATATTTTGATCATCAGATCAGTGACAATTTTATCATCAAATCATCATTTATGCCTCTTGATACGCAAAAAAATAGGGAGCAGAGGAATGAGACAATCCTCGATCCCGCGAAGAAAGGTCACTTCATATAGTGCTAAAGAATACTATTTCAGCTGATGAGATCTCCATTTTTGCGCAACATTTCAAGATGCAATTCATATTCCCTTGCTTTGAGTCTCAATGATGCGATGCTATTGGTCCTACGATCAATGTCGGGAAGTGGTCCCGAGACACTTCCAGTTGGTGAGCCTTGCGGTGAACTGGACGTGGGTGGTGGTGGTGGTGGCGGCGGTTGGGGAGGTGGTGCCGCTGGTGCTGGCGGATGAGGCAAATTAATCGCCGGCGCTGGTGGCGGTGGTGGTGGTGGCGAGCTGCGTACTAATTTTGGTCGTTGTGCGGCAGAAATATTTGCCAGGAGACTTTGGAAGGAAGCGGCTGAGGTATAAGGAAGTGGCATTCCAGGTGGTAGAAGGGGTGGTGGCGCTGCTCTATGATAAGGATGCGGTGGATAACCACCGGGTAAAACTGGTCCATGACTTAGTGGTGGATAGCGAAATGTGTCAAAGGGTTTTCGAAGAGCAAATGAGCCAAGATGTGCAAATGGATTTGGTAATGTTGGCGCAACAACTGCCGACGGTGGTGGTCCACCTGCTCCAAGATAGGGATTGTAGGGATGACCCTGAGGTCCAACCTTCTCTTGCTTCCTCCATTTTGCCCGTCGATTTTGGAACCACACCTGGAAAAATAAATGATTTTTTCATGAACAATTTTTATATTGTACTTAATAATCTTTAATTTGCTTACAGCTATTAAAATTATTTTTTACTTCTCAAAGCATTTTATGAATCTAAAAATCTTTTTAAAAAATGTTTTGATATTTTTGGGTGAAAAATAATTGTCGCCGCTGAGCGTAGACGTCAACTTCATGGAGGTCACTTTGCTACATTATCGCCATTTTTGCGTCGTCTCTCAACAACAGGCCAATGAAAATAGTTTGCGAGAAACGCATGCGTACATGATAAATTTTTATTCATACCTTAAATTTCATTTATTTGTGAAACAGTTAAGTTAAAATTAATGCATAAGTGAATGAAATTTTCAGGCCTTTTTTAACAGTGCAGCAGACGAAATTTTAGCAGAGTTAGATAATATTTTGAAGTTACCAACTTTATCGCTAGATGCGACATCTCTATTAATCTAAAGAGAACTATCCTCTAAATAGTAAACAAACATATTTACTATTTTTTGAAAGATTATTCAGACGAAACTTTGTTTTACAGCTAAATGGAAATAATTAATGAATAAGAAAATGTCTATGATTTTGCTAATATATAATTGGTAACTTCCGTTGATCGTGAAAAGCGAGAATACCTACTGAGACTATAGTTATTAAAGACTGGTGAGGCTAATTGAAAATTTTACTGGTGATGATAGCGACTATACACTTGGGACCATATTGAATGAATAGTGTTTTCAAAGAAAAGTGCACTGATTGTTGGATTCCGGGTCAGAATAAAGGATAGGTTATGATCCTTGGAAATCATTCTCAAGAGAATGAAGGAGACCCACGGGAGTTTGTGAATTCCAGTTATATATATATATATATATATATATATAGTGTGACGTATTCTCCCCCATTTTTTTTTCAGGAAGGCCACGTAGCGTATCATTATCTTGAATGAACACAAAAGTCGCTGCGGGATGCTGTTTATTTTTTCCGAAAATAAAGAACAGAGCCTCTGTCGGTATTTTAGCAAATAACAGAATATTTCTCCTCGTAAACCGTTACGACGCGATTCCGATGGCCCACTTTTCTCTCTCATAACATTTCCGAAAATTGAAGAAACATCGGAAGATTGAATCCCTGCATTATTTTTTTTAGAAAAAGGAAGAATATAATAAGTATTGCAAATATCTGGGTCTATTTAATACCTCATCCTCAAATATTAAATGTATCGTATTTGTGGTTTTTTTGAAAGAATATTTCTCAAAATTACAGTTTCAAAATCAAGTCTATTCATTTTCGAATCGTATAATTATATCTGCTAATAGTTAACTGTGTTATATGATATATATATATCGAACTATTGTGTCTGGAGGAGAAATATATATAAAATTTTGCTGTAGTTACGTAAGATTAGAAGAAGAAAATGGTGGTGCAATGGAACAATTCAAGTATAATTTTGGATAATGTTCTGTAACAAGTTTCTGTTTGAGTATAATATTATCTTCCGGGAAGATTGTAGAGTATGAAGTGAGGGAATCTTGAATTTCCCCATTGCACATTTAGTGAAGGAGAAAAGGTATCAAGTGCACGCTGAATGGCTTAAAAAATACAAGATAGTCATTGAGTAAAGAATGGATTCGAGAAAGAGAGAGAGAGGTCACTTGGCTATTACGAAACGTGCACTTTGGCATTGTGCACGAAGACGAAAATAATCGAGGGAGCAATCGCAAACAAACTGTTCGTGATGCGTCCACTATTCCCGCACATTCCTTCGCGAAGATTCCCCGAAGAAGAAGAAGAAGCGAGCTCTAATCAGTTCAACGGAAGTTCTTTTCTCCTTTCTCTTTTTCTCGGACAGTTTTTGAAGTCATCTGCTCGATACTCACTTCAAGAAGTTGTTGGCTTTTTTTGTTTTTTTTTGCCAGGGAGTTTTTTAAAGAGCAAATAAGAGATTAGAAAAGACTGTTGGGTCGATTTTGATAGCGTGCTTCGACATATAAATACAAATAAAAATACAAACATTTCGTATATTTCGTATAACATCAAAAGTCCAAAGAAGAATAAGGACCCGGCACGAAGATTTGTTGCTAAAACGAATCTCGTGACGAGACGCTATGAAAACAAGTGTACGTCAACAACAATTCAACTTATCCAATCATGTATATAAATTCTCGGACGTTTAAAGCACCTGCTTGTTTCCATTATTTGTTATATATATATCTTCTTGGAAACCAATGAAGCGTACGTTACGAGAGCATCTTTAGAATTTCCTCTTGATTCTGGAAAACTTGGGCTATTGAGCAAGCACTCTGATTGTTATATTTAAAATTCCTCGCTCAAGATTTTTATGATTTCCATTTCTCAGGTGAAAAATTTAAATGTCATCTTCAAGATAACATAGAGGTGCAAATTTCTGTCATTACTTTTATATAAAATTCAAAAAGTTTTTTAATCCTCGAGTCATGAAAAATATAAATACACATTCTAGGAAGTAAACGCCTTATATTATTTTAAGATGATTGTTTCTTGAATATATGCACAAATGAGTTGGGGAAAAAAACAATTTTTCATTCTATTTTGTATATATCAATTTATAAAAAAAAATAAAATTTATAAAAATGGTGTTAATTTCACTCTGGATATTTGATAAAATAAAGAAAAAAACACAACCATCTTGTAATTTATAAAATGAATTTGTGAGTCAAAGGAACGCCGCGAGTATATAACATCATTGAGAAGAGAAAGAAGGTGGATGACTTTGCGATTCGATGAACATTCTATCATCAGATCTAAAACCGAGGACACGGTGAGATCACCAAAAAGGTTCCGCCTAGTAGCTCCTTATTGTTTGGCTATAATTCGTTAGTGCTCGTCTTGCTCCTGATCTCAATTCTTTTCTTGTGTTTTCTTTTTTTTTTAATGTATAACATATATCCTCTCTATTCGTCACAATATAAATGAACTCATCGCTCGATATGAATTGAAAGAGCTTATCGACTCTGATTGAGACAAGAACTTTTTTTTTCTAAATTCATTTATGAATGGTTTTTAAATTAGTTTGGATACATATTGGTTTCTTTTTTAAATTACAAACAGAAACTTTAATTATAATATTAAAAAAATAAATAAAAATACAGAAATAACTATTTATGAAATATCTTGCTAAAATTTGGATTTAATAATTTTGATTACAAAATTAGTTTTAATTTCCTTTAATTTATTTTTTTCGCCATTGACATGAAAAAGTGTCTTTTTTGTGCCTGTTTTGGGCAGATAAAGTAGCACTTTTTAAGGCAGTTTGGGCCAACTGCCTAAAAAAGACTTTTTTAGGCAGCAAACTGCCGTATAAAGTCTTTTTTAGGCAGTAAACTGCCCTATAAAGTCTTTTTTAGGCAGTTGTTAATTTTTGCATAATTTTTTTTTTTGCTTTTATTTTATTTATCAATTTTTATTATTTTTTTTCTTTAAAATTGTTTCACTTTTTCATAACAATGGCGAAAAAAATAGCGTATGTGGCTCGCACGTAGTAATTTTTAGGTTCGGATGATTTCAATACTCGCTGTCTGTGCGACTTCGGTTCGACTCGGCTCGCTTTCGGCTCGACTCGACTCGCCTTCGGCTCGTCTTCATCTCACCTACAGCTCGCCTTCGTCTCACCTACGTCGCACTAACGACAGCTCGTACTGAAAATTACATCCTCACCTAAAAAGTACTACTTTACGTGCTTGCCACATAATATACTATTTTTTTTGTCAAAGAAAAATTTTAAACTGTTTTTATTAAAAAAAAAAATCTTAAAAAGCAAAACATTCATATACAGTGGACTCCGCTTATAACGAACTTCAAGGGACCGTTGAAATTTGTTCGTTATAGCCGAAGTTCGTTATAAACGAAGTTGAATTTAAGATTAGAAAATACGTGGTAATACATATAAGTATATAATTAAAATTTTCATAATATTGTTTTATGTATTTAGTCATTAGTTGGTTAAGATACTAAGATACATATTATCAATTAATTTATCAAAATAGTTATTATTATAACAATTTAGTAATTCAGGAACTTGTTTGCCTATTGAGATAATGAAGAATCGAAGATTGTCTTTTATTAATATTATAGTTTTTCAAATGATAATCGTTGACAATATTTTTTACTTTTACATAATGTTCAAAAAAAATGATCCTCTATGTCATTTGACTGCCCAATAAAGTAAATAAATTTGATATGTTCGTTATAACCGACTTTATTTGGCAACAATGTTTACAATTTTTGCTCGTTTTTAACCGAATTGCTCGCTATATCCATCTCACTATAAACGATGCTTCTTACGTTTAATTAACATTGAAACCAACCAAGTATCAAAAATTTGTTCGTCATATCCGGACTCGTTATAAGCGAATTCTACTGTATTTTTATTTGTGCGGACACGTCGTAAAATTTGATTCGTCGTTTTATTTTCCCTCATATAATCTTTGGCTTGCTCCTTTAATAATTTTCTACTTTCAATTTCACGAAGGGCCATAAACACCCATGTTGTATCGCAAAATGGACATGTTTCCGCATACGGTTATAGAGGGTTTGGCTCGAATCACACACGAGTAAGAATCTCCTAAGTCCCATGCACACATAAGGCCCCATCAAAAGTTCATGGGGTTCATTTCAAGTTGGTTAAAGAGAAAGAGGGAGAGAGAAGAGATTCTTGGACCCCCCACAGTGAACAGGATTGCCCCCAGCGGGGTGCTAAACATCGTCAGTTTAAAACAAAACGCACCGACTCTCAGCGGAACCTATAGTCATTTTTGTATTTAATCGTATCGCATTAATTAAACGGGCGCCGCTCTTCCACCCGCATTAAACCTTCGATTTGTTCAGAATTCGTTTGCCAAACAGAAATTTCGTTGGCAGCCAACCTCTAATGTGATAAAACCTTTATTTATTTTTCATCTCGTCAAAAAAGATGAAAGCATAAATTATATATCTTTTAATTTGTTAAGCACCACACTGCCTCA